ATGTTAAGGAGCCCAAGGAGAAGTAAGAAGAGGGGTCAGCAGAACTGCTACCTTGGACTTCTGCAGTCTTTATGAAATTGAAAATGATTTTATAAAGACACTAGCAACAAAAAGAAGGCTCAGGAGAATCTTGATCCTTTATTGCACATGGAGGAAATCAGACTGAAAAGGGATGGGCGAAAGGTTGAGGTACCTAATGTCTTCTTTGCCTTGAACAGTAATACTAGTTGTTCTCTGGGTACCCAGCCACCCAAGCTGGAAAAGAGAGACAGGGAGCAAAAGGAAGCCCCATAATCCAAGGGAAATGGTCAGAGACCTCCTACACTACTCACACACACAAGTCTACAGGGAGGGATAGGAACCACCCAAAGGTACTGAGGGACCTTGTGGAAGTGCTCACCAAGCCACTCAACTATTTATCAGTAGTCCTGGCTAACCAGGGAGGTCCCAGTTGACTGGAGGTAAGGAAATGTGACACCCATCTACAAGAAGGGCAGGAAGTTCTGGGGAACTACAGGCCTGTCAGCCTGACCTCAGTGACAGGGAAGGTTATGGAACAGATCATCTTGAATGCTATGGCACATGAAAAACAACAAGATGCTTGGTGACAGCCAGCATGGCTTCACTAATGGGAAATCCTGCCTGACCAATTTGGTGGCCTTCTATGATGGGGCTACGGAACTGATGGACAGGGGTAGAGCAATGGTGTCATCTACCTGGACTTGTGCAAAGCGTTTGACGCTGTCCCACATGACATCCTTGTCTCTAAGTTGGAGAGACATCAATTTGATAGATGGACCACTAAGGATGATGGAAAAGGACCTCTGGGTGTTGGTTAACAGTTGTCCAAGTGTGAGCCAGCAGCGTGCCCAGGCAGTCAAGAAAGCCAACAGCATCCTAGTTTGCATCACAAATAGTGTGGCCAGCAGGAACAGGGAAAGGACTGTCCCCCTGTGCCTCAAATACTGTGCTCACTTCTGGGCCCCTCACTACAGGAAAGACATTGAGGTGCTGGAGCTCGTCCAAAGAAGGGCAGTGATGCTGGTGAAATGCCTAGACATCAAGTCCTACAAGGATTGGCTGAGGGAACTCGGGTTTTTTAGCCTGGAAAAAAGGAGGCTCAGGGGAGACCTTATCATTCTCTACAGATACTGAAAGGAGGTTGTAGTGAGGTGGGTGTTGGTCTCTTCTCTCAGGTAAGAAGCAATAGGACAAGAGGAAATATCCAAAGGTTGGAAAAGGGGAGGTTTAAACTGGATATGAGCAAGCTGGGCCTGTTTAGCCTGGAGAAGAGATGGCTGAGAGGGTACCTTATCAATGCATATTAATGTCTTCAGGGCAGGTTATCAAAAGGATGGGGCCAGACTCTTTCCAGTGGTGCCCAGATAAGGGGCAGCCAGCAAAAAGTGCAACACAGGAAGTTACAGCTGAGTATGAGGAAGAACTTCCCTACTTTGAGGGTGACAAAGCACTGGTGACAAAGCTCAGAGGTTGTGGAGTCTCCTCTAAAGATGTCCACAACTCGCCTGGATGTGATCCTATGCAGCCTGCTCTAGTTGAACCTACTTGAGCAGGGCACTGGACTAGAGGTCCATTCCAAACCAAACTGTTCTGTGATTCCATGATCCAGTCATTAAAGCAAATAAGGGAAGTTTGTAGAGCCTTACAAGTAACTGGGACAGAAGACGGGGCACACATAAGGGATTAACCAAGGCCCAGAACAGTTGTGCTACCTGTTGTAGTGTAAGCCATAGCGTTACCAACAGAAACACAGTAGATCTTGTGTTCTGGTTTTAAAATATATGGATTACCTATATAAGTTATGATAGTATTTTGAAACAAAACAGGATCATGAGTGAAGAAATTATTTGTAAGGGTTTGACAAAACTAAGGAAACCCTACTTGTGGTGACAACACTGTGTTTTTAACTGTCCATAACAGAAAAGATAATATCATAGGACCAGAGGCAATGGGAATAAACTGAAACACAGGACGTTTGCAGGATATCACAAAATGCTTTTTCACTCTAACAGAGGTTGCAGAGAGGTTGTGGAGGGTCCATTCTCAGAGATATTAAAAAAAACATCTCTGACATGGCTCTGGGCAACTTGAGGTGACCCTCTTGAGCTGGGGGTTGGACCAGATAACCTCCATGGTTCATTTCCAACCACAGCCCTTCTGTGATTCTATGAGTTAATGACAATTACTGCAGGAATGTCTCTGGCAAATGAACTGACATCAGCCTAAATTCAGCTGTCAGATAATAGACAGACACAGACATAGACTATAGACAGACATAGTGATACACAGATATCCCTTATCTCCTTTCTCTTGGAGAGGGAAATTTTGTTCAGAAGGCATATAACCTTGGATTCTTGACATCGTTAACTCTAGGATATTCTGCATATAACTTTTTACATGCTCAATAGATTTAATGTATTAATAGCCTATTGACCAAGGTGAAAACTAAAAAGAACTTGCCACTTTTATTTCCACCACCTAAGGAAAAATACTGACTACATATAAAAATATACAGATTACATATAAAAAGATCTATGGAGGTTTCCTGGTACAGGATGAGTTGTAATTTTATATCTCATAATTTTTTTTTAATCCAAGGTATTAAATAATGATACGAGGTTGCAGAAAGGACTTCAGGTTTGAAGTGTTATAGTAAGAGAAATTTCTTCGTGAGCAGGCAAGTGTGTTCAGAATACAGTTGAGTGAGTCAGCAAACCTATTTTTATTTGCTCACTTTCCCTTCATAATGGCATTGGCTAAGCACTGTCTGTGTTACTTGTGTTATCTCTTGGTCACCAAAGAGAATTAGATAACTTTATACCAGAGGATCGAAAGGGATGAAAGAGCTAGGAAAGAATCACTCAAGCAGGTCATTTTTTCCCGTAAGAGACTGTACCTTCAGAAGTATGTGGGCATGCCTGGTGCACAGTCTGCCTCATATAATCTGGGATTCTTCTGACATCAAAATAATGCTAATTGCAAAAACACCCTAAAATTGCTATTTATAGCAACATAATTTATTTTCATGCAGTTTGCTCTTTTTCTTTCAATCCATCATAAAGTTATTCTTGAAAGATTTCAGGTAAAAAAGAAAAACCCGCACTTATTTTTGCATTCTTTTTGCAACTACAATTTCTTGTGGGAGCTAAAAAAAAAGTAAAGTCTCCCTTGGAAATAACCTCTCCTTTTAAGAGTTTTCTATCTTTTATTTCAGTCATTTTATATCCAGAAGACTGAACCAGTGGAAAGGAGAGGTCAAAAGGTGGAAACATCAATGCTTATATAATCCCTGAAAAGGATTATTTCCCTCACAAAAAATGGCTAGTATGCCATGTGAAATTAAGGACATTTATTCTGTGTTTGCACATCACTTGCAATGGAATTGATGAATCCTTAGAAAAACAGAGCAACCTGAGAACAACTGAGCTTTTCTCACGGTATCAGTGAGATAGCATGAAAAGTTTGAATCAGTTTTTCTAACCTGGCACTTGCCAAAGAGCTCTGCGGAGCTTTGCTTCCTCTCCCTGTTTGCTTTTGCCAACTGAAGAATGACAGGTATACAGATTTATTAGAAATGGGAGGGGTACCACTTGGATTTTAGCATTCCTATTAGTTCTGGCAAAAACGCATACATTGTTTTCTCATTTGGACCAGGGTTACACCCATTCCCAGATGGAGAAAAAACACATTTATTGTGTTTCTGCGCCAGGATTACATAATCTGATGTGGTCTACAACATGAGAATAATAAAAGTATAATGATTTTCAGGCACAGTGCATACATAGCACTTTATAGGACTAAAATCACTGGACAAATACTTTGTTACTCATTTCATATGTCACTGAATGCAACAGTCAAAGGCATTTTGTAAGTTTGGCGGAAAATGGTGCTCAAAAAAAAAGACATGCCTCTGAAGATCTCCTGAATGTGCCAACTCAACTCCCAGTATAACTTTATGGGAAAAATCCCCAATTTATTAGTGCCATGGATAACATTTCAAAATGAATATGTAATTAAACTGGTATGTACCTATCACATACGAATGTCCAACTGCATAAAATCAAACAGGGTATCTGCTGAGACATAACATTGATAACTGCCCTTCTGCACATGTGTGTTTTCATAGTAAATGAGAAAAATTCCCACAGAGTTAATTAAAATCAATGAATTACATTCATAAAATAGGATTAGATAGTACTTTCACCCAACCACACCAGTTTACCATCAGGAAAGCAATAAAGAAATTGCCCTAAAAAGTAAACCAGGCTCAACTGTTATCTTGAATGTTACTGATTTGTTCTATATTTAGAAATATTTTTAAAAACTAGTAAATGAGTGCTTAATTTTTTCTCAATTCATCACAAATAATGCAAGAAAGAAAAATGGATCTATGGAATGTAACTGAAAAGTAGGATTACTTGGAATAGATTGCCTTGATTAAGCGTTTCCTTTGTCACTGGTCATATTTAACCATACTGACATATTTTAATAACGCCTTATTTTTTAAAAAAGTAGATGGTAAAATGACTTGTGTTGCTGTTATATCATTTATATCTTCTTCTGCTCTTGCCTGGTTTCTCTTAAGAGACAGAATGTCAACCAGTTTCTGCAGTGACAGAACAATATGGTTTCATTTGATTGTCACTGGTGATACTTTCAGCTCATTTTTCACTGCTCTGTCACCCAGATTCATAAAGAAGCTGCTTCTCCTCATCTGGATATTGGTTTTCAGCTACAATTTTTCATACTTGACTTGACCAATGTGATTCTTCCTGCTGTATGCTGACTTTTGCTATGATATGCCTATCTGTATCAATTCAGAGAACTTAAAATACTATCTCAAATTTGACTGTAGATAACTCTGTGTAAACAGAGTTATTCTACTACCAGGAGCATTCAGATACATTTGTATTACCAATTTGTCATCCGTGAGTTTTTTCTTAATTGAAAAAGAATACATATCAGGTTAATATTCCTACCTTCCAACTCCCAGCAGCCAAGTTCTGCAGTGCCCCTGCTGCCCCCTCCAGCGTGTCTGGATTTGAGCACTCAGAAAGAAGTGTGAGGTAGGGTTTGACTATTGAAGGGTGCCACAGCATCTGGATTCCTTTGGGTGGTTCTGCACAGTCTGGAAGAGGTCCTACGCCATCCCACTGTTGGAAAGTACAAATCAAAAAATTGTCAGCAAGGAAAAGTGAAATACTTCAAAACTGCCTTAGTTGAAGCCATAACAACTGTGTGTGCATGCATGAAGGCAGCTGCCCACAAGGAGCCGTTCTCAGTTTTAGCATATCACTTCATAGGGAAACCAAATTTCCTACTCATAGAATAGCTATAGCATTGGCAGAGATCACAGTGTTTTAGCTAGCTGGCGTAACAAAACCACTTTTCACTGCATTTACTTTTTGAGGTAGGAACAGAAGCCCAGTGAACATAAATGTGTCTTAAGAGGCAAATCTAGAACTTGCATGGGAAGAAGAGATTTTCCTTTTTCACATCTTGCTTAGTTTCTGCATCCTCTCTCTTCTTAAGAGGGAAAACACAATGCAAAACACTACTGTAGAAAACTGAAACGTTCAAGCCCATGAGCCCTCTGTCCCTGAAAGGCCCAAGTGTGACAAGTCTTTCTCAACTGCGCAACTTCTGCCTTCTCACTGTGCAAGTGCCTGTGGCACTCGGCCATCCAGCCAGACAGCCGTATGGCCTGAGACATGAAGCTGGTAGAACCACCTCTCACAAAACAGACTCTTCCTCTCATCACATACAGAGTTTTGCCATGATCATAATCCTGGTCTGATACCCAAAATGGGCAATATTAAAAGCTGGAGAACAAGCAGGTTATTGCACAAACCCTACTCTTACCAGAAAAAGAAACTCTTTTTTTTTTTTTCAGAACAGGGATTTGCCTCTCCAGTGGAATGCCCAATATTTGCAGCTAAAAAAGAAGGAAATTCAAGGACTTTTTTGTTTCTTTTTTTAAACAAAAGAAAGATGGTGAAAACACTTTTACTGAAAGCTTAAATGTGATTTCTATCTATATATGTAACGTATATTTTGCTTTGCTTTGTTCAGATAAAAGGATTTAGAAAATTCATAGCCTTAATACCATTGTTCGGAACAAGCCTTGACTTTTTAATAAAATCTCTTTTCTAACACCTCTGACATGCCCAGACTGCCATGACACAAAGTAAACCTTTTAATGCCTTGGGTTAGAGCTTATGTGATTACACAGATGAAAAACGTGTATAATAACATTAAACATCTACTAGACAAACAAAGATAGCACAAGCCAAATTAATCCCTTGTTTAGCTCTGCAACAGTTAATTTGGTTTTTTATGAAACCAACAACACAATAGCTGCACTTGGAAAGACCAAGATTATCTCATTTTCAGGAAGTGTCAATCATCATTTATGTTAACTTCAAAAATCTACATGTATTTTAAGGGACAATCAAACACATGTTTTCTAATAACAACTATCATAACTTAATTTTAACAGTGTCTTACTAGATGACTATCACTGAGAATGTATACCACTATCATTTTCTAAATTAAAGTAGAATAAACACCGAAGTGGAAAGCTAGTGGAACCATTTAACACACATGAACAGTTACTGAAAACCAGAAAGCCGCTCAGATATGAAACTCACTGCACTAGACAAAAGTTACGGTAGTTTAAAAGAACTTGCACGCAATACCCAGTGGTGGTTGAGAAACTACAGGAAAATTGCCTTCTGGAGAACCAATCCCTTTAAATAACACCATTATAGAGCTGTGCCTTTGAATTTTTTAATGCATTTCTGCCTTTAAACCAACAGGTTGATTCCACTGCATACGCCTCAGTTCGCCTTTTTTTCTCCATATATATCACCATTCTTGCCAGAAATGACTTCTTGTCAGCTCATAAAAAATACATTAAAACCTCCTTCTTATTTTAGCTCTTGGAATTCAATCATTTCCACTGTCAGAACTTCTTGGGAAACAAATGAGAAACATACCTTGCAGGTCAAGTCTGACCCTACACCACATTTAGGCTTTTTACCTTAGTAAGTCCACTAATAACTTGTGATGTCCAAAGGGCACAAATTCAGGCCTTCATCTGTCTCATTCCAATTTGCACAAATTATGGACGCATTATGCAACTGAATAGTGTTTGCACAGGCTATTTACTACATTATTTCAGGGACAAAGTACATGATTCTACGAAATGTATTTACATAATACATTTCTTGTGCATAAGTGGGGATATAACTTATTTTTTTATTCAGGTATTTACACTCTTATAATGCCAAGGACTACTAAAACCAGCTGATGTAAATTGAACTGTATATATGTTCATGCTGTGCTGGTACATATAAAGAAGTAAAATGATACTTGCAGATAAATTAATTTTTAATGTGTGTCCTGGGTTTAGCAGCAGCAGTCATTTTTCTCCTTCTTGGTAGCTGGTGCAGTGCTGTGTTTTGACTTTTGGGCTGGGAGCAGAGCTGATAAAAATGATGTTTTGGTTTGGCCAAGGACTTTGTGAGCCTCATGCTCTGCCAGGGAGGAAGGGAAGCCAGGAGGAAGCAGAGACAGGACACCTGACCCAAACTGACCAAAGAAGTATTCCATACCACAGCACGTCATGCCCAGGAGGTAACTGGGAGTTACCTGGGACGGCAGGGGGTCTGCGGGGTTGGAGGAGGTATCGGTCGGTGCTTGCTCAGGCTGGGGGGGGAGTTATTGGTCGCCTGGTGCTGAGGTGTTGTACTCTCTTCCCCTGTTATTTCCTTTATCATTACTATTATTGGTGGTAGCAGCAGTGATTTGTGTTTTACCTTAGTTACTAAACTGTTCTTATCTCAACCCGTGGGAGTTGCATTCTTTCTGATTCTCCTCTCCGTCCCTCCAGGAGTAGGGGGAGGGCAAGAAGGGGGGGGAGTGGGTGAACAAGCTGTCTGGCTGGGGTTAAACCACAACAATGTGGTTTTGCCATACTGCCCAATAATGAGAAAACATCAAAGAAAAAAAAAAAAAAGCTAGACAAATTATTGCATTTCCCTGCCTTTCTTTCAACTCACTGGCAGCACGATTGCATTAATTTATCACCATCTGTGGGGAAAGACCTTTTTCTCAAAGCACTGTGAAGCCTCAGGTTCCTTGTAAAGGTGATGGAAGTCTTTGGCACTGCACATGCATGTGTAGTGAAGGCACAGTAAATCCTGTGATACTGGATAATTTCCTGCCTATTCTTTGGATGTGGTGTGTGTGCCCAGAGCAGTTGAGCAGCATGTGTAGGGAAGGTGGCCATGCATAATGTACACACTGTGCCTATGCCTTCAATGTTGTGTGATAAAGGGTGCCAGAACTTTAGCTGCTTTCCAGGAGGTAGAGGGCACAAGCAACTGACCTGTCACATACTCCTGTCTCCATGTTTCAGCCCCTCTCTGCTCCTGCATGTGTGACCTCAGGTAACCCTTTACTGAAGGGTTTAATGGCTTCTGGCATCTTCCACATAGCTGAGACTAGTGTCTGCAGCTGTACAGCCTAACTGTTGTAGGGCATGCAGGACTGATACAGGTCAGAAAAGAAGCTATTGCAAAGGAGATTTTCCTGAACTTCACCCATTTGTTTTGTATTTCATAAATATAAGCACTGATTGCCTGAATGAAAAAAAATGTTACGATATTACAGTCCATTTTCTTGTGGCTAAAGCATGGCAGAATTTGCTTTGTAGCTCACATTGCTAAGTATTAATGAATCGAGGCAGTGTGCTAAACAACTCTACCCAGTGAATTACTGGAATGGCTACTGTGTTGTTGCAGACCATCAGGAATGATCAGGAAGATCTATTTGAGACAGGCTGTAGATGCAGTAGTAGCCTCTGAAAAAGAGGACAACTGCATGCAATTACTCTCCCTAGCTTATGTTAAGAAGTTAAAAAAGTCATAAACAAATATTCCTTCCAGGCTTCTCTCTTTCAGCTGAAATTACCCACATATATTATGGTTGAAGCTGACAAACTGTTTGCTATGTGGGTGAGATACAAATCTCTCATTTCCTGAAACTGGTGCAAAGAAAGCATGAAAGTCAAGAAGAATAAAAAGCCAAACACAGAGATCTTTAAGAACAACAGACTTTTAAGAGCAAGAGTATTGTAATAAATTTTCCGAAGTTTTCACATTACTAAGGAAGTTTCAGACGAGAAAAAGATCACCCATTGAGATACTCCCCAATGCTCCACAACGGATTATCTCATGCCTTCTTCCTCATATTAATGAAAGCAAACCAATGTTTATAGTGTAATTGCACTGAATACCACAGAAGGCTTAAACTCAGTAAGAAGTGCATTCCCCATATATTGTTTTGTACCAAAAATATCAAGTTGGCGGGGTTTGTTATTAAGGAGTGTCACATGATGGTAGCTTTTCCTGTGATAACAACAGAACAGTGTTTTATTTTCATTTATTAAATGTGATAACTTTCCTATCTCCCAGTCTGCGCAACATAACACTACTAAAAAAAGAAAATCTAGGAAAGCTCAAGCAAAATCCAGCAATGACTAAACCCATCTTAATCTGTTTCCAATAATCCTAGACGTTTGAGATAGCCTGATAACATAGTAGCTATGCTCTTCGCAGCTGCAGTGGCAAAAATTGTATCAGCAATTAAACACTGCTCACCAAAAGCATTTTGAAATGCCAAAGACTTTTAAGCTAATGAGCCCCTTAAGAGGACAGTGGTTTCTCATCCTGCATATCTTAGTGGCTATGGCAGTCTATGCCAGCATGTCAGTACGACATCTTTTGGAAACCTCTGCCCAAGAGATGCACTGACCAACACTGTCAAGAGCAGAAATCTAAACTTAAACAACAAAAATGAATCAAAATCACAGTGATTGCTTTCTGGGGTGATGGGAATCCGTGCAGCTGACACACAGGAAGAAGGAATACTACTATTTAGATCAAGTCAAATCTTTGTTGTTTGGGCTTTGAAAACCACCTGGTCATACATGATAATGAGATTCCCAGGGCATACTACATGCTGTGTAGATAAGAATTAAGAAATGGTTGCTAAGAAGCTCTATGAGGAGCTGCTCAATATAGTCGATTTCTTGCTAATGAACACTTGACATAACCAACTTGTAAAAGGCAAGGAGGCAACAAGTGAA